CTAGAGTACACGCGCGGACTACTATAGTAGACCAGGGTAACATTTTACGCTATAACTTTTTGAAATCTTGCGCCAGAGAGCTGGCATTCCAGGAAAGCCTCGTTTACTAAATTTGCCAGTAAGCCAGTAAAGCTTGGGTAGCTAGAGTCTGCGCACTTTTCTAAAATTGGCCGTCAAAACTGCGGGTCTACTCAAAAGCCCGAAATCACTCGACAAAAAAATTATGAAAGACTTGCAACAAATGGATTTACACCGTGTACCAGGCCGTAGAAAGTCATGAATACTATGACAGATAAAAAACTAATCATATTTTTTCAGTAATTTTTTTTTTGTTAACGTTGGTCTCAGAGTGCAATTTTGGTCCAAAAAATTTACAACTTTTAAATCTGTTTATAATGTTTGATCCCAAATAGTTATAAAAAGAAACTTTGATTATAAAATAACTATAATAAACACTTTTATCATGTACATAATAATTCTATTCATAAATTGCTTACAAACTGATTTACAGTGATTTTAAATTGGCTTACCAGAGTAGGCCGCGCGTGTATTCGTGTAAAAAAAGGGGCGCGTGTACTGCAGTGTTAATGGGGCCATGCTGGAAATAAATAACTTTTATTTAATTTCATCATTTAACGACTTCAAAGTCCGTCCGTCCGTTTCAGCCGAAAGACGTCCACTGCTGGACAAAGGCCTCCCCCAAGGATTTCCACAAAGACTGGTCCTGCGCCGCTCGCATCCAGGCACCTCCCGCGTCCTTCACCAGATCGTCGGTCCACCTACTAGTGGGAGGCCTGCCCACGCTACGTATTCCGGCTCGTGGTCGCCACTCAAGAATTTTCCTGCCCCAGCGGCCATCAACTCTACGAGCTATGTATATGTGCCTCAAAGTCCATCTACTTAGGATATTTTAGTAAATTTCGTGCTCTTACTCGTACAGCCAAGCCATACCATCTCTGTCGGTGACATGTTATTTGTTTTGCTTTTAAATTATGAGCACTTTAGTTTTAGTCGTTCTTTACATAGACTAGGACAATAGTGTAATATCTAGTTTATTTTCATTATTACGCTATAGAAACTTAGATAAACTTTATTAGTTTTCCAAATTATACTTGTTTAGTTACTTATGTATGTCACCGTAAAATTGTGAATTCCGTCAGATTATAATCTGACGTAGTTAAATTACAATCTAACCTAACCTAACCCACTGTTGGTTTACAATTTAACGCGTTATATTATAAACTGACAGAGTTCACAATTTCACGATATATAAATAAGTAGAGACGCAAAATTGTAGGTGCCAGTCGACTCTTTAGTTTTGTTATGGCTTAATTTATTTCAAGCAGGCTATTTTATTAAAGCTGCGTGGTTATTTAGATTAAAATACTTGACAATTTCGTGTTTTGACTAAGCCTGCTGTTTCATCGTACGTTGTGTTGTAATGCTCAAGTCGCGTTTATAATTAGTTTTTAACCAATTAGCGGCTTCCCAATAGTCCAACTGAACAATCAAATCCCATATTAACCCGACTGCATTAAGGAAGAAGAGTTTTCATGCACTATGTTTGGTATTTACTTCGCCATCTTTCACCCTTCAATCTTCAATCAAACGATAAAATTAATGGAGATCATCTTATTAATTTAAATATTTTACACATTTTTCGTGGTCCCATCTAGTCCCAAACTAACTCGAATACCTGCCTCTACATTATAGGGGATTTCTGATTTTTAAAAATCCTAAGGATAGGTAGTGTGATGAACCGCCGCAAGCGGTAAGGGATAGTGATCCCGATTGAGTCAATTTAAAGACAATTTTTAATAAACTGGTTCACTGTTGTAGCAAAAAAAAGCGTTGTTTATCTCGTAGCACAAGGATATAGTTTTTTCTTCGAGACAATGACCAATAGTATGTATGATGTCTGATGCAAATTGATTTATACTATGACTGATAGACAGGATCTGTTAGTTCTGATGCCTTTGTCTGACATCAGGTGAAGTTTTATTATTTGTAACGTATATACTCGTATTAGAAACGTATTAAAAAACTGTGTAACTAATTCCATGGCTAGACAAGGCAGCTCTACCTTTTAAGAAGGCAAGATCCTAAAAAAATGGGCGTTATCGAAATGAAAAAATGTGATCCGAAGAGTTACCTTGGAGCGAGGTCATTAGCTCCGAGATTAGCTGCTGACGTCACGGCGCAATTAGTGATAATGATAATTTACGTAGCCAACACCTAGTGAGAGCTGATAAAATGATTTATGCCAGGCCGTGCCACGGGACGCGAATTCTTATCTATGAAAGTAGGTATAAGTACACAAGTATTTAATTAACTGTGATCGAGGCAATATTGATCACAATTATTTGCTTGAAATTATCATGGCCTCCATTTTTGGCTAAAAAGCCAAGGTTTCTATGGCGTCTCCACTACCTAAAGGGTTTCGAATTGTCTAGTGCGCTAACTACACATAGGTATAAATTCCACGTACCTACCTATTTTCTAGCTAGGTATCTAACTGAAAACTGCAATAAAGAGAACTAAAGAAAAATAGAGAACTCTATTACAAATAATCTTTTTTATTCGAAGACCTCTCACACACGGTTCCCAGTCGAGCAATACTTAGGTACGTGATGCCTTTCTGTCTGTAGTCTAGGTCGAACGAAGTTAATTAAGTGTGATAAAGAAAACCATCGGCCATCTTATACCTAAGGGAGAGCCTAACGGCGTTTTCGCACTACATCTAAATCAGTTAAAATAAAGGTCTATAAAAATAGGGGAGACCGAGGAGTAGTAACAGAAGAGAGTTGTGACATTGACGATTTTTTGTAACTTATTAACTACTAGCGAGCTCGTAACAGTGCGCGTTTTTATTTCAAGTCTCGAGCTAACAAATACGCGCTGTAGCGAGCTCGCTGACAGTTAATGGGTTTAAAAACAATCGACAATGTCACAACTCTCCTCGGTCTCCCTTAACTATAGAAATCGGATGACGAGAATATGATCGGGTACGCAAACTGCCATACAAATAGTTCTATGACTCCTCCGAACCGTGTTTTTACCGATTTATATCTGAATTGATGCGAAACCTAACTCTACACTAGTTGGCAAAAAATAAAGTCAACAGCAGAATTAAATTCACTTTATCGTTTTAGATCTATATAATACATTTAACTAGGATTCCGATTTCAACTATATTATTGTTTTTACCAGAAGTGAAAGGCGGATATTTTTATTAATTTCTTTCTTACACCCTTCACCTACAAATTACTTCTGTTTCCGTAATGCCTGAATAACTTACAGTAATTTAGTTCAACAACTATCGATATTCACACTTTTTTGTATAGCTAACTTGTGAAATTATAATGAAAAAATAAATTATAATTATTTATGTGCATGAATTAGTACTCGCAACGAATTGTAGCTTAATACATTTTGGAACTACTCGTAGTTAGATCCCAAATAAAAAATTGTAAATACTTCGTCCAATGAATCCATAAGAAATCTTTTAAATAGTAAACTTACATTATAAGTATCTATACCAATCTCCGAATGGTAAGGAAAAGGCATTTTCTCCATTACCAGGCATGTTCGTATTGAGCAGTTTGTTTTCATCAGTGGACGTCCACTTGCCGTCAGCCAAGCATTAGAACTCGGATGCTGACCAATTACTAGTGTGACCAAGCTTTAAAATGCTTAAAAATAATTTAAGCATCACTAAATCAAAATAAGTTTTCATTAATTATAGACTGAAGTACTTACTTGAATGAAATTCAGTAAGTCTAGGTAGGTACCTACCTACTTCTTAACGCCATGTCCGTATTCTGTCGCTGAAAGACATCACTTTTTGGTTGAGGGGGATGGACAAGAGTGAAAGTATGAATATAGCACTAGGCAGCTCATATTGGATAGTCCCTTTCTCTGTTGCTTCAAATATTTTGTTTACAAGTTGAAACGAAAACGGTTTTTTTATTTATCCTACACGAATAAAATAAATTCTTCATCAATTTTGTTTCGTACGATTGGTATTGGTGGTTAGTAATAGGTATTGTTACGCCCGTATTCACAAACGATGCTTGCTTAAGTGAAGCAGCAAATCGAACGCGTTGAATAGAGTTCTGCGTATTAGTTCGTGTGTCACCCTGTGCGTCCACGCGCACCGTGAGACCTCATAGTAAAGTTTTGTTGTTATGGGCGTCAGTCCATTAGGGCAGTCCCGTTAACCTCCAAAGATGTGGTCCACCGACGCTACAGTAGCCATTAGGCCGCGTATTGCCTGTTAGCCTAGATTTATGTGAATAGAATTAATACGCGAACGATGTGCCCACTTAAGCGCGATTTGCGACCTAGATGGGCATTAGTTTGTACCTACCTTACGCGAACTCACACGATGCACTGAGAGCAGCTTGCATGGCTGTATTAAGAAATCAATGAAATAATTTAATAAACTACATAAAATTGAGGTATAATTAAATGTAGGTAAATGTAGTACAAATTAAGCTTAAGAAATAAAACACAGTTAATTGGATTCAAATTATTTAATTTTTTTCGAATTCAGATCAACATTTCCCATACAAACTTTCATACGATTTAGATATAATTTTTAGTCAAAACACAGGTTTTTTTTTATAAATCTGTCAATATTAATAAATAATAAAGATCGGATATTCGGATGAATATTTATTTATATAATCTCAATATGCAAGGCACTTCTATTTAAAATAATTGGAGCAATAAAATAATCATTTAAATTAACATTCATTTAACATTTTTGAAAATAAGTATTAAACAAAAAAGAAAAAACTTACTACTTCTAATTATTATCAAACTAATTTTATAAAAAGAGGATATCAAAACTTCCAATTAGACACCCAGATAAATTAATTTAATGAAGACGCTTTTCATACTTTCAGAACTTTTTGTGAAAACAATTTTATTTTACGTAAATATATCCAATTATCCGATCACAAAATTTCAGTTTCAAACATTATTTTTTGTTGTAGGTATTTTTATTTCATTTACAGCTAATAATTAGAATAGTCATTAATTAGATATCATCGTACGACTTTGATAGGTTCATTTGGCGACGAAGGAAAGTGGTACCGAACTTTATAAATTGGAATCGTTAAAAGAATATTTGGGCAAATAATTCTCTATTTGGGTAATTTGGTATAGATTCTTCTTAAGAACGAGTTTAGATGTGAACAGCATAAATAGCAAAGGTAGAATTGCACCATAGATTTTAATTTATTTATGAATTATTGCAGAAATATTGACGCGAAGGTTCATTTATAGATGTTGACGTCTTTGAAGACCAGATGTATAAAAAGAGCACATTTTTTCTCCATTCGTTCAGATGGAAAAAAAAGTAGATACTTTATCTTTTGAGTTTTGAACTTAAAAACGGAGATTTTTTTAGGAGACATTATGAGTTGGTACCGCTTTTATCCATCGCCACTGTAAGGGTTTGTTTTGTTTCCCAGCATGCTTGCGCAGGCGACGAAGTGGGAAACAGAACAGTCAAGTAGCGCCAAGAAACCCAAGTACTTTCGCATAAGGTAGAAAGTTAATTAACTCGGGTCAAGCCACATAGCCCTGTAGACAAAATACGAATGTTAACAATTCGCAATCTATATAAAAACATTGTCATAAGACAATGTAAGTTGTATCAATAATGTTCCAGCGCTTTTAGATNAAATAGTGTCCCACGTAGATACGGCAATGGTAAAAATTGTGTCGCTTCGTGTCAACGAAATATACACCGTGTGTCAACAAATCTCAGGACCTTATTTGATTGATGCTACTTGACTGCTCTCTTGCAAAGTTGTCACTATTATATAGTATACTCCCATCAATTATTATAGTCGTACTGTATCATAGTTTAAACACACACATTAAAATCTACGTTTACAGTCTACTATTGCTAATAATATTGAAGACATTATTTTGGCAGTGATTAATAACCACAATAATTTTATACGATGGTAATAATAATGTCGACAATAATCAGGGCTTTTTCAACTATCGCTGATAGAGCCTATCATAAAGTTATCTGTCAGATAAACTAAAACATTGTTCAGATAATTTTCTCAGATTTTATATCAAGAACCTATTCAGAGCTTATTTTGAAAAGGTCTAGGCCGAATATGAATCTAAAAAGATTCCAGATTCTAATTGGTCTAAAGGTTGACATTTTACCAATCACAAGTTCGTATATTAAGTTCCAATAGTTTTTAATGCGTATTATGAGAATAAAGAATAATAATAAGAATAGGTAATTGCCATAATTTCCATCTTATTTATTCGTATTTATTTATTCTTAATGCGTATTATGAAATTAAGCTCAAAGACTCGATTCAGAGACTTGAAGTTATGCTTCTAATTGAATCGAGTTACGTTAAGTTACGTTCAGGGATTGTTCTTCTCCATTTCAATTCTTACTTGCAACTAGAGTCACAATTAAATAATGTCATGCCTTTTACCTAAACACGATTCACAAGACGGTGGTAAAAACATTCACGATTTCATTATTGAAAAATAATTCTGGCTTATGTTTGTTGCGACCACAGAAAACAGTAAAATGAAATTGATAAAAAGGCTTTCTATTAACAAGTAGGTTTTCTTCTTTTTTTGAGGAAAGTAATCCACGTTAATGTTTTTACCAATTCGTTTGCTGACATAGGCTTTAGACGTCTTAAATCACGGCGTATACAATATACATATTTATATTCACGACATCGAAATTTTTAACAACATTATATTGATTTTTTTTCAATTATATTTATCTCAAACATTCAGCACATATTATAAGTAAAAATATAATTATTACTATACGAATTTCAGCGAAGCCACTTTTTTGTAAGATATTCATTATTAAAAATAAAATAAAAAATTATCACTTCACATCACACTTACGACAAATTACAAAACACTACTAGAAATATTATTATTAGAGCAAGAAACATTCATTTTATGTAGGAGTCTAGTCTAGAAATATAAAGATATTTAGTCATAATAAATTAATTTATAAACGCATCTTAGTCTCTATTTCCATACAGAAAAACAAATTGTAAAAAAAAGAAAATTTTAAATGGTGGAAATTAAGTTTTTGCTCATTTTCTTGGTCATCTTTTAAAAAATACTAAATTATGATTTTGGTCATTACAATTCAGTAATAATAAAGAGCCAAACGATTTTTTAATTGACTGAAAATGTTTATAGTCATGAAGAATGAGTTTGAAATAATGCTTACATTATAGATACTTATTTTTTTTTATGAAAAATGTCCTGACAATTTTATTCTTATGTTATTTTTATCTAGTTTTGAAAATCGGCTAACATTAAAATTAATAACAAATACAATTTAGTCATTCAATGTAAAAATAACTTTTTAACAATATTGCCAATTAATACATTAAAATTTAAGACACACATCACATTATACAAATACATGGAAAAATATTACATTAAAAATTACAAAGATACAAGAGATGTACTTACTTATAAATATTAAAATTGAACTAGCTACAAGTAATTTGGACTACTTAGCCTAATTTGCACTATATTCGTTTATTCTAGCAATTTAGCAATGATAATATGAAAATATGCGGGATTATGTAATGCATAGGTTGACAAAAATTTAGTTACTTCTCGCATTAAATACTTAAACGAAAGAAGAAGTGGTATAAAAAGTAAAAAAATATCAGCTTCAAAAGATTACCCCCGCAGTAGTTTCAGACTAGCCAAAAAAAAAAGAAAATGTAATTAGAATTAATTTTACTACAGCCACAGTATCCATAGAACTCTATTTGGAAAGAAACTAAAGAGGAAGACTGATGAGACAATATTGTAGGTATCAAAATTATCACAATATAAATAAATAAATATTAAGTACTCAATTCAATATTTCGAAACTTTATAAGATTCAGTCTTAAAAATATATGACTCGTTACATATTTAAGTTCATCATAAAAGGTCAATCAATTTTAAAACACATCCTGGACAATAACTTATTTGGGCCTGTCTTATGGACCCGTCTTAGTACGCGAAAACAAATAATGACATTTAGGAGAAGTTTAAATATGACTGTGTAGACTATGAAATGTAGTTTACTCATCAATAAAAAAATAACTTGCAACGATCGGTTCCACTAAATCCATTATTATTTATCATTGTTTATTCTAAGTGGCTGAAAAACCGAATCGAAATAACGTTTTTCAGTAAATTAGGTAATAAGTAATACAAACACAATCAACAAATTGTCATAAAATTAATGATTATATATAGTCTTCAATATTTAGTAGTCTATGAAATTGCTGAGAAATATTACTAGAACAATTGAAAGCTAGTTAGTGATTTTTATTGATGATTATAGGAAGAAAAAATGGTGCTTTACTATTATAGTATTTGTTATAAATTATTATGCCTATGATATAATTTTCATATAAAATTGTGAAATTCAATTAATTATAATATAGATATTAATATAAATCAACTCGCACCGGAATGCGAAATCATTAATTCATTATTATTACATTCTAGAAAAACACGATTTAAGAATCACATGACGCAATATCGAAAACTATACCTAACTTCTAACTATACTCACAATAACCCTACCTATCTATTGCTTTATCGAATTCAATATCAATGTCATAAACTTATAAATAAATAGCTATATCTATGGATTGTTCTTTATAACACTAGTAAACTCATCAATCGCTGCACTAAAATTTGGCGGAAATAACACTTTTGGTTAATGACGTTAAAATATGCTTACAAATAGCGCGTTATACGGCCATGTTCAAAAATGTGTTGTGTATTCCTGAAGGTAGGTACTAAATCTACTCATGCCAACTTACAAAGCCCAAATCTCTACTCACTCTAACCTTAATTAGCAATTTACATTACCAATTTACACGCCGTCTTTAGCCACTTCAAAAACTAAGCACACTGTTGAACTTGACTGTAAAAACTTATTTACGAGGTCTCAAATTCGAGCGTATTGAGGTCTGAGGTCGAGAGCCCGATGGGGTCTGCGGGTCTCGTCTTCGAGGTTGCGGTCCAGGTGGGTACATTGGGGTCGTCGCCGAGGTCAAGCCAGACGAGGATCGAAGGTTTCGTCTGAGCATTTGGGGGTGTTCAGGTGATANGGGTGATATAGCCGATGGTACGGATGTATGAGAACTGCCCAAAGATGGTAGAGAGTCACGTCTAGTCATTCGGAGGCGTCCGGGTAGTATTGTCGGTTGTTCTGTCATATTAGGTCTGGCCGAAGATGATAGAGAGTCGCGTCTAGTTGTTTGGAGATATTCGGATGACACTGTCGTTGGTAATGACGAATCTGGTCTGCCCAAAGACGATTGAGAGTCTCCTCTAGACATTTGGAGGTGTTCAGGTGAGATTGGTGGTGATACAGACGTATCTGGTCTTCCCGAAGACGAATGAGAGTAACGTCTCTGCATTTGAATGCGTCCGGGTGAGATAGTCAGTTGTTCTGACGTATGAGGTGTACCCGAAGATGGTTGAGAGTCGCGTCTAGTCATTCGGAGGCGTCCGGGTAATATTGTCGGTTGCTCTGTCATATTAGGTCTGCCCGAAGATGGTAGAGAGTCGCGTCTAGTTGTTTGGAGATATTCGGGTGACACTGTCGTTGGTGCTGACGTATCTGGTCTGCCCAAAGACGATTGAGAGTCACGTCTAGACATTATGAGGTGTTCAGGTATGATTGGTGGTGGTACTGACGTATCTGGTATACCCGATGATGACTGAGAATAGCGTCTCTGTATTTGAATACGTCCGGGTAAGATTTTCGGTGGTTCTGATGTGTAGGGACTATTTGAAGATGGTTGAGAGTCGCTTCTAGTCATTACAAGTTGCTCAGGTGGTTTTGGCGGTGCTGACGTATGAGGGCTACCTGAAGATGGTTCAGAGTCGCGTCTGAGCATTTGGAGGTATTCAGGTGATATGGTCGATTGTGCGGACGTATAAGGTCGGCCCGAAGATGACTGAAACTCGCGTCTAGGCATTTGGAAGTGTTCAGGTGAAGTGTGTGGTGGTACTGACGTATCTGGTCTACCTGAATACGACTGAGAGTTGCGTCTTTGCATTTGCATGCGTCCGGGTGAGATAGTCAGTGGATCTGACGTATGAAGGCTGCTTGAAGATGGTTGAAAGTCGCGTCCAGTCATTTGGAGATATTGGGGTGATATTGTCGATTGTGCGGACGTATAAGGTCTACCCGAAGATGATTGAGAATCTCGTCTAGACATTATGAGGTGTTCAGGTGTGATTGGTGGTGGTACTGACGTATCTGGTCTACTCGAAGACGACTGAGAGTAACGTCTCTGCATTTGAATGCGTCCGGGTGAGATAGTCAGTTGTTCTGACGTATGAGGTCTACCCGAAGATGGTTGAGAGTCGCGTCTGAACATTTGGAGGTGTTCAGGTGATATTGTCGGTGGTGCTATCGTATGCGGTCTACTCGAAGACGACTGAGATTCTCGTCTAAGCATTTGGAGGTATTCAGGTGAGATTGATGATGGTACTGACGTATCTGGGCTTCCCGAAGATGGTTGAGAGTCGCGTCTGTGCAATCGGAGGTGTTCAGGTGAGATTGGTGGTGGTGTTGACGTATGAGGTCTGCTTGAAAACGGTTGAGAGTAGCGTCTCTGCATTTGAATGCGTCCGGGTAAGATTTTGGGTGGATCTGATGTAAAAGGACTATTTGAAGATGGTTGAGAGTCGCGTGTGGGCATTTGGGGGCGTTTGGGTGAGATAGTCGTCGGTGCTGACGTATCAGGTCTACCCGAAGAGGATTGAAAGTCGCGTCTAGGCATTTGGAGGTATTCAGGTGAGATTTGTGATGGTACTGACGTATCTGGTCTACCTGAAGACGACTGAGAGTTGCGTCTTTGCATTTGAATGCGTCCGGGTGAGATAGTCAGTGGATCTGACGTATGAAGACTGCCTGAATATGGTTCAGAGTCGCGTCTGAGCATTTTGAGGTATTCGGGTGATATGGTCGATTGTACGGACGTGTAAGGTCGGCCCGAAGATGATTGAAAGTCGCGTCTAGGCACTTGGAAGTGTTCAGGTGAAGTGTGTGGTGGTACTGACGTATCTGGTCTACCTGAATACGACTGAGAGTTGCGTCTTTGCATTTGAATGCGTTCGGGTGAGATAGTCAGTGGATCTGACGTATGAAGACTGCCTGAAAATGGTTGAGAGTCGCGTCTAGTCATTTGGAGATATTGGGGTGATATTGTCGATTGTGCGGACGTATAAGGTCTGCCCAAAGACGATTGAGAGTCACGTCTAGACATTATGAGATGTTCAGGTGTGATCGGTGGTGGTACTGACGTATCTGGTATACCCCATGATGACTGACAGTCGCGTCTGAGCATTTGGAGGTGTTCAGGTGAGATTGGTGGTGGTGCTGACGTATGGGGTCTGCTCGAAGACGGTTGAGAGTAGCGTCTCTGCATTTGAATGCGTCCGGGTAAGATTTTCGGTGGATTTGATGTATAAGGACTACTTGAAGATGGTTGAGAGTCGCGTCTGAGCATTCGGAGGTATTCAGGTGAGATTGGTGGTGGTGCTGACATACGGGGACTGCTCGAGGATGGTTGAGAGTCACGCCTAAGCATTAGGAGGTGTTCAGGTGAGATTGGTGATGGTACTGATGTATCTGGTCTTCCCGAAGACGATTGAGAATCGCGTCTGATCATTTGGACCTCCAAGTGATCAGACGCGATTCTCACCTGTTCAGGTAAGATTGCCAAAGGTGCGGACGTATCAGGTCTGTCTGAAGAAGATTGAGAGTTGCGTCTGCGCATTTCGAGGTGTTCGGGTGAGATTGCCGGAGGTGCGGATCTATGGGGTGTACCCGTAGGGGGTTGAGAGTCGCGTCTGGATGTTTGAAGGCTTCCGGGTGTAAAAGCCGTGCCCAAAGATGACTGAGAGTCGCGTCTAAGGATTTGAAGAAGTTCGGGTGACTGTGGTGCAGACGTATTAAATGTGCTCGAAGGTAATTCAGAGTCGCGTCTGAGTCTTTCAAGGTGTACAGGTGAGATTGCCTGTGGTGCGGATGAATATGGTGTACCCAAAGACTGTTGAGAGTTGCGTCTGAGTATCTTAAGAAGTCCGGGTGGCGTTGCCTGTAGTTCGGACGCATAAGATGTGTCAGAAGGAGGTTGAGAGTCACGTCTGAAACTACGAAGGTTTACGGGTGAGGTAGCCTGTGGTGTAGACGTATAAACTGTGCTCGAAGGTGATTCAGAGTCGCGTCTGAGTCTTTCAAGGTGTCTAGGTGAAGTAGCCTGTGGTGTGGACATATTAAGTGTGCTTGAAGGTGATTCAGAGTCGCGTCTGAGTCTTTCAGGGTGCCTAAAGGAGACTGCCTGTGGTGAGATTGCCTGTGGTGTACTCGAAGACGATTGAGAGTTGGGTCTGAGAATTTGGGGATGTTCAGGTGAGATCATCTGTGGTGTACTCGAAGAGGGTTGAGAGTCGCGTCTGGATTGAACACGTCCGGGTAAGATAGTTTGTGTTTTGGATGTAAAAGTTGTGCCTGAAGACGACTGAGAGTCGCCTCTGAATATTTGAAGAAGTCCGGTTGACGTAGCCTGTGGTTCGAATATACTAGTCGGGCCAGAAGGAAGTTGGGATTCACGTCTGACATTTCTAAGGTATCCGGATGAGGTAGACTGTGGTGCAGGCGTATAAAATGTGCTCGAAGGTGATTCAGAATCGCGTCTGATTCTTTCAAGGTGTCTAGGTGAAATAGCCGGCGGTGAGGACCCGTGAGTTGTGCCCGAAGGGGATTGGGAGTCGTGTCTTTGGAAGAGTCCGGGTGATATAGCTGGTGTTGCAGATGCACATGCTATACTTAACGAAGATTCAGAATCACGCCTGAGTCTTTCAAGCATACCAGGTGAGATCGCTGACGAAACGAGTGTACCCGACAATGATTGAGAATCGCGTCTAATTGTCTGGAGGGCTCCTGGTGAGGTCGCTGGAATTGACGATGAGGGTGAGTGAGAAGATTGTTGAAGATCAGGCTGTTTTTTGAGGCGTCTGGGTAAATATTCTGGGTTTTCGTTTGGAGATTCTGAGCGCGATGATGAGCGAGAGTCGCGTTTATGTGTTTCGCATTGCCTGAAAAAGATTACCGAAGGAGATGGTGTATCCAAAGGTTGTTCAAGGCTAGGTAAGCTAGGTTTGTCTTTTTGAAGGTCGGTAGATAACAGTTTTGTGGTTTCCGTTGGTGATGGTGAGTGAGAGGACTGAGAACGCGGTCTGTGTATTTGAGGGTTTTCAGATACGATCACAGAAACTTCGGAAGGAGATGGTGTATCCAAAAACTGTTGAGGACTACGTCTGTCTTTTTGAGGGTATTTAGATACGATTACAGCAACCGCGGAAGGTGGTGTGTCCGAATGTTTTAGTAACTGTTCTGGAGTTTCGGTTGGAGACGGTGAGCGAGAAATATATGGAGATTGGCGTCTGTAATCTGGGGAGCATCCAGATACGATAACACCAACAGCGGATGATGATGGCGTCTCCGAAGGGTAGTTAGAACTGTTCTGTTCGGGCAACTCTTCTGGGGTTTTGGCGGGAGATGGTGTGCGGTACTTAGATCGCGAATGGGGTCTGTGTTGTTGAGAGGAATCAGATAGGATTACGGCAAACGTGGAAGAAGATGATGAGTCCGAAGGGTAGTTAGGACTACGTCCGTGTTCTTGGACGAGTTCGGGTAACTGTTCTTGGGTTTCTGTAGGCAATAGTGAGCTCGAAGAGAACCGAGAACGGCGTTTGTATTTTTTAACCGCAGAAGTAGATGAATTATTCGACTGGAGTAACTGTTCTGGGGTTTCAATTGGGATTGGTGAGCAGGAAGAAGATCTAGTATTGAAACTGTGTCTGGGTAAACATTCTGCGAATTCGAACGGACTTATAGAGAGCAATGTAGATTTCTTGGTATATTTTTGGGGGAATCTGGATAAAACTAGCATAGCAGGGGGCGTAGGTTCTGTGTCTGAAGGGTATTGAGGACTATATCTGTGGGTTTCATTTTGATTGGTAAAGTTTAAAGTTCTGATTTCAGTTGATGAGAGCGTAGAGGTACGTGATGCACGCCTGTGTTTACGCGAGTATCTAGACAAGATCATCGGGACTGGAGTAGATATGTCCGAAGGATGTTGAGGACTAACTCTTGTGTCATGGGTTTCAGTTAATGCTGATGAGCGTGACGGGAATGGACGTTTGTGTTTTTGAGGGTACTCAGATACGATTATCGAAACCACTGACTTCGATGGTGTGGGTATAGGTGGAGATGTCGGGGTTGCAGATGGAGAAGGCGGGCTTGAGGGGGATCGAGGATCGCGGTTGTATCTTTGTCGATGTTCAGATGCGAAACTTGGTGTAGGAGACGATGGAGTGCCAAATGACAGAGGTCGTGGACTATTATTGCCTTTATTAGGCTGACTAGGTGGGGATGTCGAGGTGGCAGATGGAGACAGTGAGCCTGAACGTGATCGCCGGTCGCGGTTATATCTTTGCAGATGTTCAGATGCGAAACTCGGTGTAGGAGACGAAGGAGTACCAAATGACAGAGGACGTGGACTATTATTGTCTATATTGGACTGACAAAGTGGGGATGTCGGGGTTACAGATGAAGAGGGCAGACTTGAAGGAGTTCGAGGATCGCAGTTGGACCTTTGCCGAGGTTCAGACGCGAAACTCGGAGGAGGAGGCAAAAGAGTATCACATGAAAGAGAGCGTGGACTATTATTGTCTGTATTGGGCTGACTAGGTGGGGATGTCGGTGTTACGGCTTGAGACGGTGAGCCCGAAGGTGATCGAGCGTCACGGTTGTATCTTTGCCGATGGTCAGACTCGAAACCCGGAGGCGGAGGCAAAAGAGTACCACGTGAAAGAAGGCCTGGACTACTATTATCTTCATTGAGTTGAATAGGTGTGGAGGTCGGGGCTGCAGATGGAGATGGTGAGCTCAAAGGTAATCGAGGGTTTTCGGATAAACTCGGAGGAGGAGACACAGGAGTACCACATGAAAGAGAGCGTGGACTATTATTGTCTGTATTGGGTTGACTAGGTGGGGATGTCGGGATTGCAGATGGAGACAGTGAAACCAAAGGTAATCGAGGGTCACGGTTGTGTCTTTGCCGATGTTCAGACGCGAAACTCGGAGGAGGCGACAAAGGATTACCAGATGAAAGAGGGCGTGGACTACTATTGTCTTCATTAGGTTGAATAGGTGTGGAAGTTGGGTTTGCAAATGGAGATGGTGAGCTCAAAGGTAATCGAGGGTTTTCGGATAAACTCGGAGGAGGAGACACAGGAGTACCACATGACTGAGAGCGTCGACTATTATTGTCTAAATTGGGTTGACTAGGAGGAGATGTCGGGGTTGCCGATGGAGATGGTGAGCCCGAAGGTGACACAGGGTTGTGGTCATCTCTTCGCTGATGTTCAGACGCGGAATTCGGAGGAGGAGATACAGGAGTACCACATAACTGAGGGCGTGGACTATTATTGGCTAAATTGGGTTGACTAGGAGGGGATGTGGAGGTTGCAGATAGAGAGGGTGAGCCCGAAGGGAATTGAGGGTCGCAGTTGGATCTTTGCTGAGGTTCAGACGCGAAACTCGGAGGAGGAGACAAAAGAGTACCACATGAAAGAGAGCGTGGACTATTATTGTCTGTATTGGGTTGACTAGGTGGGGATGTCGGGGTTACGGATTGAGACGGTGAGCCCGAAGGTGATTGAGGGTTGCGGTCGTGTCTTTGCCGATGTTTAGACGCGAAACTCGGAAGAAGGGTCAAAGGAGAATTACGTGGACTACAATTATCTGTATTGGGTTGACTAGGTGGGGATGTTGGGGTTTCGGATGGTGATGGTGAATTTGACGAGGACCGAGTATCGTGCTGTGTCTGAATTTCAGGCGAAACTGCACGTGTGGGAGAGGAAGGTGGACTGCCAGGCGGGGTTCGAGGACCGCGGCTCCGTCCGGTTGAGGAGCTTGCCGAAACAGGAGACAGAGGAGGGCTTCCTACTGGAGTAAGTGAACCACGATTGTCTTTTCTAGGTGGGAGTGTTAGGGAAGGTGAGCTTGAAGAAGATCGAGAATCACGACTGTGTTTTGGCATTTCACTTGTCTCAGGACTGTCCGAAGGTGATCGAGGACTATGGGGGGAATGACGAGGACTGTCTTCCGGGGTCCGAGGACCACGTCGGTGCCCGATAGTAAATTCCGGAGCGGGGGAAGAATGGGGACTAACAGCCGGAGACCGTGTATCATGGCTGGAGATTCGGGAATGGCTAGGTGAGACTGATGCAGTAGGGGATGGAAGGGGACTAGTAGTTGGAGATGGAATGGGACTAGCAGATGGAATGGGAATAGCAGATGGAATGGGAATAGCAGATGGAGATGGAATAGGAGAAGCAGATGGAATGGGAATAGCAGATGGAGATGGAATGGGAGTAGCAGATGGAGATTTTAGGCTCGGGCTATATTTTGGGACTTGTCTGGGAGAAACTAGCATTGTTGCTGACGTAGGGGGTGAGCCTGGAGGAAGAGGGGGATCACTTGTGTATATATTGGAAAAACAGTCTGAGAATAGTGGAGGTAAAGACGGAAGGGGAATATCTGATGGAGATAGTAAACAATATTCATGTTCTTCTGGTTGGTTAGATGAGAGCTGCGGACATGATGACGACATTCTTTTAAACATACAACTTGGTGAGGCTGGCGTTAGCGTTGGTGCTGAAAGCCGTCGCGATTCAGCCTTCTTTGGGTTCAACGAAAATCTCTGTGTAGGACTTAAAGATGATCTAGTATGTAACTGTGGTGATCGATTTCGTGACAATCGTGATTGAGAGTCCGCTGATTGAGGACGGATAACTGGGGACACTAAAGTATTTTCGGGCGAAACTGATCGTATATTTGAAACCGACGACAGCTTTTGACCTTCATTAGAATACTTTGGAACCGGAGATCGCTTGCGTGAAGGCGGTGACGAGCCTTCAGAAGATGGTAAATGATCTCTAGAGGATAACACACGTTTCCGGGAGGATACCGAACCCCTCAAGGTTTGAGGATGATCCTCATTGGATAGTAAACGATCGCGAGAGGACACTGACCGCTTTCGAGAGGATAATGATCGATCTTGAGAAGATGGTGAGCGATCTCGAGAGGATAGGGACCGCTTTCGAGACGAAGTCGAATCTTCTTGAGTGGATATCGTTCGCTTTTTAAATGGTAGTGTACGATCTCGTGAAGATAGTGAGCGATTTCGTGAGGGCAGATGATCCTGAGTGGACGGCGAACGCTTTCGAGATGGCGAAGTACCACGAGAAGATGGTGCGTGCTTCGGTGGAGACAGAGAACTCTGTCGAGTATGTGGCGAATGATTTCCTGAAGACAGCAAACTCTCTGTAGATGATGGTAAAATCCTCTGTGGGGATTGGATCTCAGGAGAGGACAATGAACGCTTCTGTGAACGGGTACTATTCAAAGCGGATACTCGGTCTCCTGAGGATAGCGAATTTTCCCGAGAGGGTAGTGAACGCCTTAATGAGGGAGAACGCTCACGAGAAGCTGGCGAACGCATCGGAGAAATAGGCCTTTGGGACTGAGCCGAAAGATTTTTAGTTAGTTTTTCTATTTCCAAAAGCTTCATTAACTTCCGTTTCGTCATTATTTGCTTTCGAGTTAATAGAGTTCGCTTTCGTGGGTAAGGCGACACTTCACTACTTATAAGATAACGCTCTGGCGTTCGTTCTCCAGGTTCAGGCGAACTACTTTGGGAAACGGGCGGTTCCTGCGCGGGCAGTGTTAACTGTTGTGACACCGGTGACTGAGATCTCGATCGAGAAATCGATGAAATCGACGATGATGAGCCGAATAGTTCTCTGTAACGCTGTTTTATTTTTGGCGTCCTCGACTTTAACGATTGGGGTCGTATTGACTCTACCAATTGTGCTGATGAATTCGGGCAAACTCTCTTTAATGCTAATTTCATCTTAATTATCCCCGGGATGTATGGCTCCGGCTTCAATAACCACGGAAAGCTTTTCGTTTTCCTCTTTAATAACCTCGGGACGATTGGCTTAATTTGCAACAAGCTCGGGATATAAGGCTCCGTCTGTAATGACCCCATGACGGAAGATGTTGACCTTATAAACCCTGAGACTTCCAACCTCGACCTCATTAACTTAGTTTTTAGTAACCTAGACCTCAATAACCTCGAACTTGATAACCCCAATTCAAAATCGGATTCGCTATCACTACTTGTGTTACTCGAGCTATCGTTGTGATTTTTCATCAACGGCTCACTCAACGTCGCTTCTGAACCAAAAGTGTAGTATTGAATGCGGGCACTCACCCGTTTTAGCGCCGGTGCTTTAACAGCATAACCTGTAGACAATAATAATAAAATAAATTATATAATTTTTATCTATTTCATGTGTAAATACACCGGAGCTAGGACGAAAGAAAAGACGTTGACAGCATCATTAAAGGAGAGCGGCGTTTTTGGTGGGAGACATTTTGATTTTATCAACTCTTTATCCAGATCTGTTCCAGGGACTAATCTGTATCTGAATCTGTGCAGCGTTTCCCAAGAGAAGTGCCCGCGCAGTACTGCTCGACAGGCTGAGTGCTTGGCACGCTTTTGGTAAGATCAACAATCTCTCATCATCAGTAAAGCAAGTGCACGATCGTGTTAGATCGTCCTGAAAGGGATATAGTGCTATCTTGACCTGTGCAGAGAGCAGTTCCCTAAAGAAATGCCCGTACGACACTGCTCGAGGTTTGAAGACTAGGCACGCTTTTCTACTACAGTTAGTTGACTTACCTGTGCTGCGAGCGTTTCCCTAGAGAAGTGCCCGCGCGGCACTGCTCGACGGGCGAATACAGGCGCGCAGGTGGCGTGCTCTTAGCAGAATTTTAGGGAGAAACATTTTTAAACCTCCCTCCCACCATGATCGCTGGGGTAGATTATACAGCTGACTTACCTGTGCAGCGAGCGTTTCCCTAGAGAAGTGCCCGCGCGGCACTGCTCGACGGGCGGAGGCAGGCACGCGGGTGGCGCGGCGCGCGTCGCGCGCGTGGCACGCGCAGCGCCCGCGCGGGGGCGCGACGTCAGCGAGGCGGCGCGCCGGCCCCTGGCGGCGTCCAACGCAGGCACGACGCCTCGACGCAGCGCGCGCGTTCAGCCCGGCGAGACACTTCTTCTAACACCTCCTAAGGGACACAGGTTTGTTGTTATCTTTTAAAATGATCATCAGTGGCATTGGGCGGGGCTCATAGCTCGTACTCGTAGAAATTATTGCAGTTGGGGCAGAAAATTCCTTGCGACCAGGGACCTGATAATGGTCACTAAACGACAACTGACTCTCTCGGTTTGGACCCCTCCAACTAAAATTGGAAAATTAACGCAATTGACTGACATTGCCCGCAGAATCGCTAAAATCAAGTGGCAGTGGCGGGGCACATAGCTCGCAGAGCTGATGGCCGCTGGGGTAGGAAAGTTCTTGAGTGGCGACCACGAGCCGGAAGACGTAGCGTGGGCAGGCCTCCCACTAGGTGGACCGACAATCTGGTGAAGGTCGCGGGAGGTGCCTGGATACGAGCGGCGCAGGACCGGTCTTTGTGGAAATCCTTGGGGGAAACCAGCAGTGGACGTCTTTCGGCTGAAACGAACGAACGATTTTTTTAAATGATCATCAACGGTTGCCAGTGGAAGTGGGCGGGGCACATAGCTCGTAGAACTGATTGCCATTGGGGCAGAACTCAGAATACAGCTTGTTCTGCATTCTGAGGGGCAGAAACTTTTCCGCCCCTTTCAAGTCGAGAACTTTCTCACGAATAGAAAACGGTCATTCAACATCAACTCGATCAATCTGGAGGAGCTCCTACTAAAATTGGATATTTTTTAAAGTGATCATCATCGGCCGTTTAGACCTCAACCTGATGTACTAAAGTGGCAGTAACATCTCTAAGGTTGGGAATATGGTTAGGCACCTCGCTCGATGCGAAACATTTACTAACACCTGCTAAGGAACACGTGAGTAGAATGTAGAGACGTTTATAATTTGTTATCATCACTGGCCTTTCTGAGCGACAGTCTTGTACTAGTGACAATGGCAAGAGCTCCTGGACTTTACCCCAAAGACGTTGTCGAAGGTGTCTAGTTTCTTATGCCACTTGTTATCAGTACCAGCAGATATTTTGCTCCCAAAGGACCAAAAAAATACTGTATTCACTGTTTGATTAGGATAATAAAGGCTGATTAATTTCATAATAAGTATTTTCTTTATCAAAATCCGTAACTACGTGGCGTGACGTCACGTTTTCTTTTATACTGCTAAATGAAAAAAATGCAGCTAGCATCGATTTTAAGACGTTCAAATAGAATGAAAAACATATAAATTGGAAGAGCTAATCAGTTCAGTTTCTTCACCTTGACCACAATAGAAATTAATACAGTATCGCACACACAACGAACATCGCTCCTGAGTGAGGTAGTTATACAGATGAGTTACGTTTGTTGATATTATCTAATGAAAATCGATTGCCCAAATTATGGATAGAACTATTCAAATTAATGTCAAATTATTTATTAGTTAATTAGTTTGCATACTGCCCTTCTCTGGGCACTTGTATTGACGGACAATCTGAAACTTTAACCTAGGCGCAGACCACCGACTTTTAGTTGGCCGATAGTTGGGCCCGATTTTAATTTATATGAACTTTCATACATCTCCATACTGATTAACAGCCCGACCCAACTATCCGACAATTAAAAGTTGGTGGTCTGCGTCTAGGCTTAGTTGATTATATTATTATCAATTTATTTATTGTTTAGCCTGTTATTGTTTAACAATAGCCCGCACGTGCTAACTGGGATTTTTGAGATCAGACGTGTCTTGGCGTTAACATACGTATTGGGACTACATACTGGTTCTACCTCTGTAATACCGTGTTGTGCTATCTTACAACAGTCTGGCCGCTTTCATTTTGCGCATCGAAGACTAAGAATAGACCCTAACAGAGTAGTAATAGGGTCCCGTTTTCCTTTGTGTAGTGAACCCTACATATTGAGTCTACTGGTTCTACTTCTGTTATACCNCCGGGCAGAGTGGCGAGTACAAAAGGTACTCTAGCCGTTTGGCGGTCGTCGGTGCGCGTGCCGACGAGGCCGAGTGTGGGCTTCGCGAAGCGAAGCCCAGGCTCGTCCGCGTCGGTCGCAGACCGACGTTCGCGATCGGGCCGTACTCAGCGCCCGATGCGACACTTCTAGCACCTCCTAAAGAACACTTGTTTGTAGATATTTTTAGTGATCATGAATGATCTAAAGTGATAGTATAGCAATGAGTTCACCTTTTGTACCGTATTTTTATTGAGTGCAATAAAGATTTTAAATAAATACATAGTAACACCTCTAAGGTTGGAGATATGGTTAAGGAGTTCATTACATGCTCCGCTCGATGCGAAAGATCTTCTAACACTTGCTAAGGAATAACGTGTGTAGAGAGATGTCTTAGAATTTGTTATCTTCACTGGCCTTATCTGGGCGGTAGTCTTGTACTAGTGGAAATGACATGATTCCCTGGACTTTACCCAAAAGAGGTTGTCGAAAGTGTCTAGTTTCTTGTGCCACTTTTTGTAAGTACCAATATTTGCTTCCAAAGGGCCAGAAAAATTACTATGTTCACTGTTTGATTAGGATAATAAAGGCTGATTAATTTCATAATAAGTATTTTCTTTATCAAAATCCGTAACTACGTGGCGTAACGTGAGGTTATCTTTTATACTGCTAAATAAAAAAAATGCAGCTTGCATCGATTTTAAGACGTTCAAATAGAATGAAAAAATATAAATTGGAAGAGCTAATCAGTTCAGTTTCTTCACCTTGACCACAACAGAAGTTAATACAGTATCGCACACACAACGAACATCGCTCCTGAGTGAGGCGGTTATTTGTGGATATTAACTAGTGAAAATCGGTTGCCCAAATTATGGATAGAACTATTCAAATTAAATGTCAAATTCTTTATTAGTTTACATACTGCCCGTCTCTGGGCACTCGTCATCGTTTAGTTGATTATAATATCAATTTATTGTTTAACAATAGCCTGCACGTATAAACTGGGATTTTTGAGATCAAAACACGACGTATCTTAGCGTTAACATACGAATTGGGTATTTGCCATCACTCCTCAATAATTCGAAAGCACAACTTTTTTAAAAAGGCACTTCTTTCCGGTCTTAAAAACTTAATTAAATTTAAATTACCTGTAAATTAAGATTTTTAGTTGCATTGTAATTGAAAAAAGTAGTTTGAGTTGACAAAATCTATGGGAGTCTCGTTTTGACAGTTTTAAAAAATACGTAAAATTGGTGGTGGCAAATACCCTATTGAGATCAGCACAGAATAATAATAAGTACTACGGTTCAAAATCTGTTATACCGTGCTGTGCTATCTTACAACAGTCCGGCCGCTTTCATTTTGCGCGTCGAAGGTTAGTGCACGGTTTACGAGTAGAAACAACAGATACAGACAGGGGAAGGTCACTATTTTTTTATATTTTTTTTTTATTCGCAACGAGGAAGCTCTTGGCCTGTATCTCACGTGATGTTAAGTGATTCACTAACTAGTGTAGGGAGAGGCGAGCATTCGTTTTATATCGAGGCAAACAATAGGTGGCCCGACGACATCATAAAGTTAGCAGTCAAGTCAAGTCAAAATTTCTTTATTTGTATAGACTATTATATGCGCTTACAAATCTTTAAATATTTTGCTCTTAAGGAGCCTCTACATGTCTCATAATCTTTTTATCCTACCATCGCTTCGCTTCAGTAAGGCGGTGAACGCAGGCCGCTACCAACCGGGCAACATGGAAAGCATTAGGGGAGGCCTATGTTCAGCAGTGGACGTCCTATGGCTGAGATGATGATGAAACAATAGGTAGGTACAGTCGACAGCACATTCGAGTATACATTTGTGTAGCAAAATCACTTCTATTACAACTACATAAGATGCCATAGTGTTCAGCTTGATGTGCTGTCGTGTGTTTTTAGAATAGGCTTGAAAAAAACGGGGTTTTTTCACTTTGAGGCTGTGCACTTAAGCTAAAAATCGCAATTCAGAACCCAGACCTTTAATTCATGTTGAGAGAGTGAGCAATGAGAATCTTCAAACTCTAATTCTCAATTTAGGGACTGGTTATTAATAACTCTGGAATCACGCACCCATACTCAGTGGGTGTGAAAGAGCATTTTCTTGAAGACCGTTAAAATTATTTTAACGGTCTTAGGATTCTGCTATCAGAGGTGCAATTATTGTGTAAGCAATCGTATTCATTTGACAGTTCAAAACGTACGACAAAATCTGTATAACAAACCGTTTGACAGAATTTGACAGAATATAGCCTACGTTTTGAACTGTCAAATGAATACGATCGCATAACACAGTTGTACCTCAGAATCCTAAAGAATTTCACTAAACTTGATTACTAGTATAGTTCTAGTAATTCGATACGTTTTCATTAACAAAGAACGAATGGAAAGTTTCAGAGATGGACATGTTTTCATTTCGAAATAGAAAACATTTCGGTATCGGTCCAATATTCGTGATTGTGTTGACGCAACGTGTTTGTGAGTTCTTTTTCGGCTTTTTCAGTTTCAGTATGGACTTCGGTTTGTTTATTTTTTAAATTGGTAAAGGGTAATACGCCTGAGGGTTATTGTATAAGTCGATTCGTCACAAAGGAATGCGTAAATTCTATAATAATATTTTTGTAGTAAACAATTTTGGAGTTGCGTTTTCGTCACATTTGTTTTCTCGAAAAATTCACTCGGATAAATAGGTAGACTTTGTCGCAAATTGCCTAGTGTTTACGACTGAAGCAGTCTCTAATAGATATAACAACTATGATTGTCAATAATTACATGTATAAATTAATGATTTTAACGCTTATAATAATGAAAACCACACGTCCCTGTCAATCGAGCAACCGCAAAGAAACGTATAATGAACTCTCTTCGCATTAACATCGACCGATCATAGCTCGTTTATTGGATACGCGCAATTAAACTTTATCCATCGGAATCCATTAATAATAACCAGTAATGTTCGGAAAATGGTAACGAATGTGCCCGAAGATCGACTTTCGCCACAAACGAAATCACGTATCGTGCGTGACAAAACATTATAGATTTATTTTATTTTTAAAAACAACTCCAACATTTCAGCGCACTAATTGATGCTACAAATATACTGCACAAAACATTAAGAGTTTACATCGTAAATAGATATGCATACAGCAAAACATAAACAAGACAATTTTTATTGTAACGTTAAATGTGGTCAGCCAATAACACGCTTGCGTGATTTTACTGACACAACCCAAGCACTATTACCTGAGCTAATTGTTATTAATTCTAGAATTGTTTCGTTTAGAAAACTTTACGTTTTCTAGGGACTCCACAAATATTTATTTTCAATAAACAATATTACCAAGTNGTACCAAGTCTCGAAAATCGATAAAAAACGATCCAGAGATGTTTCTCTTAACCTGGCGTTAAAGTTTCACCAAGAAAATAATGTAGTCTAACCCATACATATTTCAGCATTCACTGCTAAGGTTAATTACAAAACCTTCCTTTCTTGTGTTTATCTTCATAGGCCTTTTAACAACATCATTGAAAATAAATCATTCAACAACATGCATCATTCGTCCATCAACGGCAGACGTTTTTACACGGCAAATAGATCGATGGACAGCATAGTAAACAATTATAGATGCATAGTATAATTATAAATCATTTACTGCCTCTAATTGTCATCACATGAGCATACCATGAATTACCATGACGAATGTAACAACAATTAATTGCGTTTTAGATTTTTTTAAATTTATTTTTAGGAAACTATAAAATACTACTTTATGTCAAGGCCTATCAAAAGAGGTTTCAATTACATTAAAAGTTATGAAACACTTTTCAATCATTATCTATCTATACTTATAATAAATCTGTAGAGAGGTCAATTCTGTACATTAAATATATTTTCAAAATAACTATCAGGGGGTGATTAGTGATCGATACTGATGCCAAAAATGCAATCAGTAAAATTTTTGTCTGTCTGTCTGTCTGTCTGTCTGTCTGTCTGTGCTTAAGTTAGACGCTTGAAATTTGGCATGCAGGTACCTTAGTAAACTTGAAGCTTAGTTACAACAGGATATTGCGAAATTCCCACGGGAACGGGAGTTAGCGGAAAAAAACATTTGTATGAAAAAATCTAAACCGCGTAAGATAGATGAAGGGGGTAAAACGGGATCCACGCGTACGAAGTCGCGGGCGGCCGCTAGTTCAGAATAAAATTAGAAGAATTAAATTATTAAGTCTGTATTCAGGAATCAATATAGGCGATATGCTACGATATTTATTTCTGAGAAGGTCACATAATTATTCATTCTACCACACAAAGTCATTCTACAAATATTGAACCTTAAATTAAATAATGTGTGTAACGAAGTTTCCAAATCTATAGTTCAAATCCATCATTTCGTGATAGTAACCTGCTACAAACAACACAAAATCAAACAGTTCAATACCAAATCCACTAACCTGCTTCTTCAGCACAATATGCTTTCCTTTCCAGTACTTCATCAGGCCTCTCTCCTGCAGCGTGGACACGATGTCCGACGAGGCTATAGCCAGGTCCTTGCTCAGGTCTCGAATGCACAGCGTCGGGCCGGGAGCAGAGCACAGCCGCCTCAGCAGCGCTTCCTTCCAGTACGACCGATACGATATCAGGCCCAGGTCGGACAAGGGTGTCTCTGGAGACCCAACTTTGCCCTCCACTTTTGTTAGCAGATAGCCTGTGGAAGGTATCAACGGTTATACGTCTGTTGTGGTATGAAAATTCTGTTGAAACTACACATTTATTGAACTAAATTGAACCCTAGTGCTTTCTTTCTAGCATTTTATTTGACGAAAAATATAAGAGTATTTTAAGGGCTTTATGTCTTGTCCAGATTGTACCTACGTCTTTTAGAGTAGGAGAGAGCGGGGTTGGTTTTAACGCAGGTAAGAATTAACATCATAAAGGTAGCAGGAAGGTCCTGGATGCAGGCCGCCACCGACCGACCATTGTGGAAATCATTGGGGGAGGCCTATGTTCAGCAGTGAACGTCCTATGGCTGAAATGATGATGATGATAATTGGGTTTCTGTTGAAACTACACATTTATTGAACTAAATTGAACCCTAAGTGCTTTGTTCTTTACAGAATTTAATTTTACGTAAAATATAACAGTACTTTACAGCTTTGTGCCTTGTACTTAGGTCCCTTAGAGTACGATTGTTGGGATTACAAGCCTTTGTCAGTGTAGTCTGCTTAATGTGAAATATTTGTTCGCTCTTTACTGCTCAAAATGTCTACTATCACATCATCCATATTTATTTGAATGACTAAAATCTTTGTCACGCTCGAGCGTGACAAAATTTTCAGAGCGCGCTCTGAAGAGCAGCAGGAATTTACGATTACTCAAATATCCTTCACCTAACGATACACCTAAGGCTGAAAACTGCAAGATACCGTTAATTAATTTATCATTATGTATTGTCAAATTGTCAAAACAATCATTTCCTGATCTAATATGATTAAAAACACAACGATTCTCATCAATAACCTGTCAATATTCGGAAGCTCTACATAACTGGCAATAAAAATCAACCCGTACGTGTATCTCGGTACAGTATTATCATTATTTCTAGATCCTCGGCATTTAATAACGATCGGAATTGCATGTCCAAGAAGGAAAGCACACGCGTGGCCGATAAATCAAGTGCGCGCGCGCACGGGCCGTAACGCTTTAAATTCATACTTTTTCTTGTAAAACCGGGGGTTAATGGCGGACGTAGCGTTATTGGATCGATGCTGTTTTTTAGAACATGCATCTGTGCAGTTTTCTTGAATTGAGTTTTTGTTGGGCTGAGTGCGGTTCTTTGGTTTGACTTTTGATGCAATTTTTCTTGATGGTTGTCTGTTGTTGAGATTATTGGACTCTGGTTTAGGAATTGAGTTCAAGGTTTGATTTGATATTTCGTATCGTGTCGTTTCGTTCATTTTCATGGCGTATACGGGTACCTACTTAAAATACACATGTACCCTAAAATGCTTCAATTGATAAATAAATATGTTTAATCATTGCTTATTATTCAGATTGTTGGAGTTTTGCCAAAAAAAACTATGAAGATTCCTGTTGTTTTAGTTCTTTATTTTATCATATGGGAACATCAGTTGCTCCTTAATTCCATTGTAGTTGTTCTTTATTAAAAGATATGTTCCAAGAATAGATCCTCTCTACTATGGATTTTTTTTTCTATAACAACGGTTTTTCGTAAAGTCCTTGAACCGGTATTAGCAACCGTTGAGAGACATTACTTCCTTATGTTTATATTAAGAAAATTCATTACAACCTACCCCAAAACGAACCCAACGTCCAATCACCTAAACATTACACCGAAAACAATAATTAACCGCGGCATCAAAATTCCACGTCTACGATTCGCCGTGGCCCCCACCCTGCCCCCCCAGTCTAGACGGCAGACCGATCCATACTGCACCATCGATCGGGGTCGACAACCGCGGCGCGACGCCCCGAGGGCTACAAAACAAACCCCCGATGACCGGTCAGGTATTGCGAAAATTGGGCTACTTATGGCTAGGGGATTGATTTGGAGAATTTATGAAGAGACTGTCATTTTATTCTTTATTTTAATTGTAGAGGCTTGGAAGTTGGAGTTAAACTTTATGTCAAAAGCGCAGCAGCTAGAGTTTTGTATGGTTTTTACTAAATACTTGAGTTGACTGAAAAATGCTGTTTGCACAAGGACCCGTGCGGTTTTGTACGCGTGTCATAAAATATGACAGCTGGTAGTAGTACAAAACTATCAAGTTAAATACATAATCGGGCCTTTTAAACACTTCTACGATTTTCCCAAAACACAATCTTTTTATACATAGTTAAGTCTACCATTGTTTATGGATTACATTTACAAAAAGAAACTATTTTTAATGCAGATTCAAAAACTAATATTCCGAATTTTTGCGATGAAAGAATGATTTCAAATCGATTTTGCAAACAGAATCGATATGAGACTCTAGTCTATCATACTTGTGAGAGGGTTTTGCACTCGCTCATAAGTTTAGGCCAAATATACCTAACCGTAGGCATTACTGGTAAAACAATATCCAACGTCACGTTTGTCCTGGGCCTAGGGCAACGTTCCGTCCATTGCGTTCCTATTGATAATATCTGGCGCCAGCGGACTTAGCTTTGGGAACAAATATTATTCGGCCCGATTCCATACAAAACGTATGAATGAAGCGATGTACCCTTTCATCCGTTTACATGCGATTGCGCCTATGTTTGTTTATTTTAACTGTAACCTTGAACCGATTTCCATAAAACCATAGACTTATAACTTGTTATAATAAACGTCAATTGTCTGTCAAACTCTATACAAAAATACCGGTTATCTATCGTTATAGTCATGGTTATAGGCTGAGCATCACCAGCCTTAGACAAATAAAATATCCAAGGCAGACAAATTCCCCGTTTGCTCCCTAAACATTGGCAAACGTAGAATCACATATCGCCATAAGAGAGAAGAGGAAATTCGCTTAGGCCAGGTATAACAGAAAAGTTAACATCAACAGAGAACAGTAGCCCACGATAAAAAAGGGCCTAGAACTAATTATTGTGAATTTTCATCAAAATCCATCCAGTAATTATTGCGTGGAGGAGTAACAAGCGTCCATCCTCGCAAATCACGCTAATAATGTTATAGTATACAATAAATAAAGCGCTAATTTCGTACAATAATTTCACGAATAAACGTTCCGGAAAGATATTTGTTGTGTCCATTGGAAGAAATTCCGAACTCTAACGAGGTATGAGATGGCAAATTAAAATAACTCAACACTTGTTATAATAATGATTCTGAAATATTGTCAAAGCAACAGTAATCTATACTTTAATATTATAAAGCTGAAGAGTTTGTTTGCTTCTGGTCCAATTATCGAGGACGACTTTAGGCTATATCACCCTACAGCCAATGTTGCAAAAACGGGAAATATTATTCAAACTATTTCCACGCGTACGACAACGCGGGCACACCTAGTAATGATTGATTGATGAAGTTTCATAAGTTAACATTATTTTATTGCCTTTATCTGAAAGGAATAATTTTATTAACAGACACTTTGAACATAAGTAAATACTCAATGGTTTGCTATAGTTTTTCCTGTGGATATGAATAGCTATATTTATTGCTCTTTATAGGGGTATAATGTTCGTCTCTAAAGGTACCATTATTCGGCTTTGTTAACGTACTAGTCGTCAAAAATCTAGTCTAGACGTCTGATCGTTTTGTCGATCAATGAATCAACAAGTAATTGGGTAAATTAGGCCAACCGTTAATTAGAGAAGCTGACGGATTTTATTGACCGTCAAAATATAAAAATTCGAGACAATAGCTGTAAGAGAAATCTCACAAATCTGTTAGTATCTGAACGTTTTGCTTGATCAACCGAAAATGTGATATCAAAACAGTAAGTAATAAAGATAGAAAATAAAAACGGAGTAACACCTAACAAACATTACTGTACTATGAGATCATACAGTGCGCGTGGATGCACAGGGTGACACATGAACCAATCACAGAGTTCTCTACACAACGCTGTGCGTTCGATTTGCCGTTTCACTTAAGCAAGCATCGTTTGTGAATACGGGCGTAAGGCAGTTCACTGCTGCAAGAACTCTCCTAAAAAGCGCACGCTCCCGCTTTAGGCAGCCACTGCCAGCCAAATTCCTGAGGTCATCGGTCCATCAAGCAAGGTTTGCTGTAACGTGATGTCCGCTCCAGAACCTTTTACTCCAACTCTCACTCGTTTTGCCTTGTTCTAAACATTTCCCTTAATTAAAATACAAGGAAGCATTGGGGGAGGCCTATGTTCCGCAGTGGAGTTCCTATGGCTGAGATGATGATGATGAAAATACAAGTTAGTTAAATTACTTACTACGAAACTTTTTATAACATGTCTTCGCTATTGACAAATTAACATTGGAAACTTCTTTGGCTTATGAGTAAACTAAACTTTTCCTGTACCTATATGTAATATAAAAGCTGTATGTTTCTTTCATTAAATAAATAAATAAGTGTTTTTACTTACTGAAGTCGATCAGAAGCCTCCCATACCCCTGCCGCTGGTACGGAGGCAGCGTCAGAATGCAGGACACGTTGTAGTTCAGGAATGAGTTCTTCTCCTGTGTACAAAGAAAATATGGTTGATAAATATGGCGACTGTCATAGACTGCTGTCGACAGGCGATTCTCGAGCGTATTACAGGAGGGAAAGATATTTATTACATTGGCAGGTAGCGTCAGTTTTTCTTTTCACGTCTTTTGGGTGATTGGGAGTCTTACGCACGTATTCACAAACATTACTATGAGGTCTCACAGTGCGCGTGGAGGCACAGGGTGACACACGAACCAATCACAGAGCTCTAGTCAATGCTGTGCGTTCGATTTGCTGCTTCACTTAAGCAAGCATCGTTTGTGAATACGGGCGTTATTACTCTTATTCAAGCCAATGATTGTTCAATATTCAAATGCAAGCTATGACTGGGCCATACAGTTTCAAGAATCTGAATATACTTGAGTTGTACCTACAATTAAGACTAGGTAGGTAACTTGGAAAGCTGTTTCTTCTGAAGGTTATGTTAGTGTCACTTTATTAGCCAACATCGTTGAAAGACAATGACTCATTGGATTATCATGCCCTTTGAAGCACGAAATCATATTTTCATTTAAGCCCGCAAAGTTGTAAAAAAGGAATTTTCAATTTGTGGGCCGTAACGTTAATAAGGCGATATTTCAATCTAATAATCTGCCTATTAGATGCCATCATAAAGAACGGACATAAACAATACAAACGTGCAAAATATGGATTACGGGTAATACACCATNCGATAAAACCATGGACTTAACATGGACATAACTATAGTCACGGTTAAAGTTAGGTGGTGCTATTACTCAGCCTTAGAAAAATATTATCCAAGGCAGACAAATTCCCCGTTTGCTCCCTAAACATTGGCAAACGTAGAATCACATATCGCCATAAGATAGAAGAAGAAATTCGCTTAAGCCAGATAACAGTAGCCCACGATAAAAAAGGGCCTAGAACTAATTATTGTGAATTTTCATCAAAATCCATCCAGTAATTATTGCGTGGAGGAGTAACAAACGTCCATCCTCGCAAACTTTCACGCTAATAATGTTATAGTATACAATAAAGCGCTAATTTCGTACAATAATTTCACAAATAAACGTTCCGGAAAGATATTTGTTTTGTCCATTGGAACAAATTCCTAACTCTAACGAGGCATGAGATGGCAAATTAAAATAACTCAACACTCGTGATAATAATGATTCTGAAATATTGTCATAGCAATAGTAATAATGATTATAAAACAGAAAAGTGGCGAAAATACCAATATTATGTTTCATAAATTAACACTGTTTCTTTTTATGCAGACCAAGTATTTGACCGCAATCGCACCTGATATTAAGTGAGATGCTGCCTAGGATGGAACACAACTGCCCTGTAAGTGCTTATTCACTCTCGCCTTGAAAAAAGCTTTATCTCATTATCCTGGATGAATTAATTTTACTAGTCAATTTGAACATCTATACTTATAATAAATCTGTAGAGGTCAATTCTGTACATGAAATATATTTTCAAAATAACTATCAGGGGGTGATTAGTGATCGATACTGATGCCAAAAATGCAATCAGTAAAATTTTAATCTGTCTGTCTGTCTGTCTGTCCGTCTGTATGTTCCTTATAGAAACAAAAACTACTCGACAGATTTTAACGAAACTTGGTACAATTATTCTTCATACTCCTGGGCCGGTTATAGCATACTTAGGAATTCCCACGGGAACGGGAATTAGCGGGAAAATCCTTTTGTATGAAAAATCTAAACCGCTTAAGTTAGACGCTTGAAATTTGGCATGCAGGTACCTTAGTAAACTTAAAGCTTAGTTACAACAGGATATTGCAAAATTCCCACGGGAACGGGAGTTAGCGGGAAAAAACATTTGTATTTAGGTAAGGTAAAGGTAGGGTAAAAAGATTATGAGACATGTAGAGGCTCCTTAAGAGCATATTTTATGACGATTTGTAAGAACTATTTATTAGTCTAAACAAATAAAGAAATTTTGACTTTGACTTTGTATGAAAAAATCTAAGCCGCGTAAGATAGATGAAGGGGGTAAAACGGGATCCACGCGTACGAAGTCGCGGGCGGCCGCTAGTAAGTAAATAAGTACTGTAGTTTTTCCTGTGGATATGAATAGCTAATAACCTACAAGCGTAATACACGTCTTTTGGCTTTGTTAACGTTCTAGTCGTCAAAAATCTAGTCTAGACGTCTGATCGTTTCGTCGATCAATGAATCAACAAGTAATTGGGTAAATTAGGCCAACCGTTAATTAGAGAAGCTGACGGATTTTATTGACCGTCAAAATATAAAAATTCGAGACAATAGTTGTAAGAGAAATCTCACAAATCTGTTAGTATCTGAACGTTTTGCTTGATCAACCGAAAATGTGATATCAAAACAGTAGTAATAAAGAAAGAAAATAAAAAACCGAGTAACATCTAAGGCAGTTCACTGCTGCAAGTATTCTGCTAAACAGCGCACGATCTCCCGCTTTTAGGCAGATACTGCCAGCCAAATTCCTGAGGTCATCGGTCCATCAAGCAAGGTTTGCCGTAACGTGATGTGCACTTCAAAACCTTTTACTTCAACTCTGTCGTTCTGCCTTGTGATTTCAATTACCTTAATTAAAATACAAGACGGGCAACATGGTAAGCATTGGGGGAGGCCTATGTTCCGCAGTGGACGTCATATGGCTGAGATACAAGTGTTTTTACTTACTGAAGTCGATAAGAAGTCTCCCATACCCCTGCCGCTGGTACGGAGGCAGCGTCAGAATGCAGGACACGTTGTAGTTCAGGAATGAGTTCTTCTCCTGTGTACAAAGAAAATATGGTTGATGAATATGCTGACTGTCATCGACTGCTGTCGACAGGCGATTCTCGAGCGTATTACAGGAGGGAAAGATATTAATTACATTGACAGGTAGCGTCAGTTTTTCTTTTCACGTCTTTTGGGTGATTGGGAGTCTTACGCACGTATTCACAAACATTACTATGAGGTCTCACAGTGCGCGTGGAGGCACAGGGTGACACACGAACCAATCACAGAGCTCTAGTCAATGCTGTGCGTTCGATTTGCTGCTTCACTTAAGCAAGCATCGTTTGTGAATATGGGCGTTATTACTCTTATTCAAGCCAATGATTGGTCTCAATATTCAAATTCAAGATATGACTGAGCGATAAGTTTCAAGAGACTGAACATTCTTGAGATGTACCTAATAATAAGACTACTTCGAGAGCCGTTTCTTCTGAAGTCAAAATCTTAGTGTCACTTTATTAGCCGACATCTCAGAAAGACAATGACTCATTGGATTATCATGCCCTTTGAAGCACGAAATCATATTTTCATTTAAGCCCGCAAAGTTGTAAAAAAGGAATTTTCAATTTGTGGGCCATAACGTTAATAAGGCGATATTTCAATCTAATAATCTGCCTATTAGATGGCATCATAAAGAACGAACATAAACAATACAAACGTGCAAAATATGGATTACGGGTAATACACCATAAACAAATAACAGAAAGTATAACGGGTAGCGTTATTTGCCCTCAGATGATTCATATATGGGTACAACAAGAGAGGAATCATAATATTAGTCTCTAATAGCTTAAAAATACGATTTAAAGTCGTATAAGGGGTTTGTCTTGACTGTACAATCACGCAATCCAGAAGGGGGTGGCTAAAGGTATTATTAGTCCGTAGCTCATATGTAGTGCTTTTGTATGCAAATATCGCGACTCATTTGCAAGTTCGAACGCCTGTTTTTACATTTTTAATTTGAAATTGTTTGATAGAATCGATGAGTTACTTTAATGAGAATAATAGAGATTTATTGATGTTAGTTTTAGCAAAACTAATATTAGTGTAAATTCTGTCTGTTCGTATATTTGGTAAGCTAACTTTAACAGGTAAACCGGGTTTGTATCGATTTTTAGCAGAGATAGTTTTAACCTTGGAAAAGGGCTTGCGAAAATACCAGACTAATTAATTTTAGGAATGTAAAGAAAAACATGAAATATAAATAATACCACTTGTTTAATTAGCTTGAAACTCAAGTTAGAATCTTGAAAATAAAATAGAGACAAATCAAGTAATATTATTTATTAAGAAATGTAAAAAGAAACTGAAGTTACATTCAAAATAAAGATATTTATTTATATTACGTAGACTAGGTTTGGCAACAAATTACGTTAAGGTAGGGCAAGCAATATTTGGGACGTGTATGAGTGCCCTGGAAAGGGCCTATGTATTGATTACGAAACTATTTGATTTGTTTTTATTAAATAAACTTCCAATTTCACTTTTTTTAAGTCTCTTCATTATAAAAGTGCACTTAGGACAGTCAAAGCGAAGGTGTTAAGGTATAAACGCAATGCAAGTAAAACGGCGCAGTCTGCTTGTCTTAGCTCCTCTTAAACAATCGCAAGACTGATGTCTCCCAGACTCCCCCCATAACTAATACCCATTTTAACGAAACTTTACAACTTAGATGCTCAGGGCTGTCACCTATAGGTACAAAATATCGAACTTCCTTTACAAACGGTTTTTAGTAATCTGTAGATTTTGAGAGTGGGCTTGCTATTCATAATAATCAAATCCGGGGGAGCAAGCTTGCCTAGAAGATTATTTCTATCCTAGTGACTTGAAGGCTTTAGAGCAAAGAAGATGGCAGAGAATTCAAATCTTAGGTAGAATGCAAGCTGGAATTTTGAATAGAAATCTTTGATTGCAGTTCTTTTTCTTTTCAAAAATAAAGGAATTCTACTTGATCCCATTGCAATTCTTATAAACCTATATCTTCGTAAAAGCCTGATTTGAATATACCGATGTTTAATGGTGCTATATCATGTTAAGAAGAAGGTCCAAGGAAGAGTTTTCAAAGTAGATAAGAACCCTCTTCCATACATCTCTTTATACTTCAATCAAGAGTCGATATCAAACCACCGAGAGGCCAACTTTACATTTAGCTTGGCCAATCAAATTTTAATATTTCGTTTGATTTCTTGTATTTCAATCATGTTTTAATTTCATACCACCAAATGGGCCAACTCTACCCTTAGCATGGCCAACCCTATCAATCCTGAAACCCAGACGAACGCTGGCTGCAGACAGACCGAGCATCAGGTCATTGAACTGCAGGGGGAAGTTCCCGAATGCGAGTAATAAACGAGTGACCTTTGGCAAACAGTCGGCAAATAAACAAAGCCCTTTGCACTTTTGAGTGGGCTTAATAAGCTGGTCTGGACAGGTTGAAATGTATCTGTGAAGCTATTTTGTAAATACAACTTGGTTATCTATAACTTGTGTTTGAGATTTACAAAACAAATGAATGGATTTATACACCAAAATTGTGTGTAAACTAATTAAATGTTTCTTATGTGCGTCATATTATGTTAATGGTTATAAGTTTTCTAAAATGTTAGTCTACATAGTTTTAAAACTGTATTGTTTTCCTTGTAAAATAAAAAATAAAATAAAATAAAATATATACTTAATCATATTTGAGGGCATAGAGAGAGGTATAGTAGTATGGGTATAGTAACTACCTCACAAAGGGTTTTGTCCCTCTCTGCCTTCGATACTATTGATAGCATTAATTATGAACTAAACTATTTTCAGCAAAGCAATTTTCAAGGAGTCTCAAATTCGCATTTGTCTTGTTGTTGAGAGATCTCGCCGTGCTCTTCTGAAAAATTGATTAAATATTCAGTAAGAAAATTTTCTTTCGAAACGAAAATTTCAATAAGAGCGATGAATACAAAAGACAATACGCAGACGAGCTATAAAATCCGATAGTTCCAATCAAACAGAGCAAACGTTAAAATCAGAATCATAGCAGCAAGCAGACATCAATGGAACTATCCAAACGAAATAAAAGTGCAACANATCTTTATCTTATCTTTATCTTTAAACTATTTTCAGCAAAGCAAGTTTCAAGGAGTCTCAAATTCGCATTTGTATTTGCTTGTTGAGAGATCTCGCCGCGCTCTTCTGAAAAGTTGATTAAATATTCTGTAAGAAATTTTTCTTTCGAAACGTAAATTTCAATAAGAGCGAAGAATACAAAAGACAATACGCAGACGAGCTAGAAAATCCAATCGTTCCAATCAAACTGAGCAAACGTTTAAATCAGAATCATAGCAGCAAGCAGACATCAAAGGAACTATCCAAACGAAATAAAAAGTGCAACAACACTTCATTTCAGGGCCCAAGTGGCGCCCCCGGGGGAGTGACAATTTTCCCATGGCAAACACCGCCAGACGTCTAGACCCCAGACCAGCACACATGCATCCCTATAAATCTCAATTTACCCTACAATGTGTGCGTGAGGGGCGTTTAGTTCAATTTGAAGCGTAGACTGATTTTCGATCCTTTATTTACTAGCCTGTAGCGCCTTTGACAGAGCTCCTGAATTACATCAAAGGATCCTTTTATTTGGTTGGTACACGTCTCAGATAATGATGTCTGGGACTTGGAATGTCTTTGAATGATATTTTGCACAAATTAGCTTAATTTTAAGCTGGAGTTTTTATTTAGAATATCAACATAAAAGAGAATGTTCTCGAAACAACACTAAACATTTATACAGTAGATGCACACTCTATTTTGATTTAATATCACCCCCTCCCTCGGGTAACTTGCTGTTTTAATGAGGTGTCAGCAAAAAGTGCGTCATTGCTTATCGAATGACGTCATTCCAAATGTCAAGCCCTCTATTAATATCTTGAACTATCCTTAAAGGCGTTTATATAAATACCTGCGTCATACACCGGCTAGACTTGTATTAAACGAGATTAAGACTTGACAATTTATTATTGCGTAATAAGGTAAGGGTGATAATGAAAGAGCTTTGAAAATAAAGCCTACTATTCAAATTATACCACGTAGGCGAATGCGTAACCATTTTTACCTGGAATTAAATTAAAAATACATGGGTGTAGAGTTTGTTACGCCTGTGGGTTTTAAATAAGTCTCTATTCATATTTAAACCAAGAAAGTTTGTGAGGATGGATGGGCAGATTTTTTTTACTCTTTCACGCAAAAACTACTAAACGGGGTTTAATAATTCTGTACAGTGATATTTAGATACATTTCTAGTGAGCTTTTATAGTAAAATAACATTTTGTCTTTGCAACTATGTAACTTAATTTTTTGAGTTAATTAAGGAGGACACACACTCATCCTCACGCAACCGCGACGATGTGATGTGTCCGGAAAAAATAAACCCGGACAACATCGAGGGTCGTCGACCTGGACAGACAGACGGTGTATCTCGTCACGTTGCTTGCATATATTTTGTTGTAACCAAAACTCATTATAAAAAGTTTAAACCAAAGCCAGCGAGCTTTTTTTTGGCTGTTGTTAACGCAATCATAGACAAAATTGTTGTCATGGTATAACCGAGCTAGATTCATGAGATGAACTTTACTGGATGAATTTCGAGTCAGCTGGGAATGTTTCTTTCGCCATGCATCTACCGACAGAGATCCAGTATTATAGACATGACATGAGCTCATATTAAATGTTTTCTTTTTTCAACTACAATTTATTAGCTGCACTTTTCCCAAACTACCCCGCGACACAGGACCCGGAGTCCCGGATGCTTCCGGATCTGGAGGCCATTGACCCGGACAGACGTCTCGCCGGCCAAGTCTGGGAGACCCTTAACTAGGTATACGATTATTTAATGTCTGCGCGCCCCGTCGCGATTCGCGAATCGATTGCATGTTTGAGTTTGAATAATTGAGATGAAACAATTTACAGCACATCAAATTGTATAATGTAGTTGCAAAATGACACCTATTGATACGG